AGTATCCTTTGGCATGTCTCGGAATGCTCTGAAGCAGTTCTTCAAAGAATGTCTACAAAAATATATCTGGTTCAGAAGAAAACAGCCCCTACTGCTCCCCCGCTCCAGTATTATAGGAAGGGAAACAGCTTGCAAACAGTTCAATGTGCTAGGCAAAAAGGCATGGGTGTGAATTTTGGTGCAGGCGGAGTTGCGGTCTTTTAGAGAAAAAGGTCTTGAGAAACCTGGAACAAGAGGAACTCCAGGCCAGAAAACTGCGAAAGGGGAAAAACTGAGCTGGACAGCCAACTGTCCTTTCAGGTGCTGCATGGTTTGGAGGGTCACAGTGTGGAGGAAGAAGCCAAATAGGTCCTGGGGGGACCCCTGACAGGGGCCCCTTCCACAGCAGGCTCTTGGCCAGTGCCCAATCATGCCCACCTTGGGTGCTCACCCAGAACAAGCACCATATTTCTTGTTTGATCATATGCCACATGAAAGCATACCAAGAAAGGGAGAAGGTAAAAAAATCAGAGTGAGGATAGTAAGATAGAGCAAGACTTGGGAGCAGAGATGCACTGAGACAGAAGACTTTGTGTGTGTGCATTGGGGAAGGGCCAGTGAGCAGGGAGGCAGGTGGGTGTCCGTTTAATTCTCATCACATCAACCCTGTGAGGTGGGTTGGGCTGGGAGTTTGTGACTGGCCCAGAGTTGCCCAGGGACTACATCTCCACCCAATATCCCTCTTCTCACTAAGCCATAATGACAGTCGCTGCAAGAATCCCAAAAAATATTCCGCTGCGGGGCAAGCTTTGGGGTGACAGAGGGGGATCCATTGAATTTGGATGATTTTGGCCAGGGTACAAGTTAACCAATACATTTATTTTATTTGAGATTATTTCAGTGTGAAATTAATTGGTTAGCTTTGCTTCCTGTGAAATGCCAACAAATCCTAGTAATTATTTCTACCTTCACATGTGTGATTTTTAAAATCTTTTATTATGAATTTAAACAAAACAAAATGAAACAAATGAACTTGAAACTTCACAAAGAAACAAGGGGAAAAGTCCCTGGAATTAATAAAAATTGTAAATATTAAAAAGCAGCATAATCCAGATTTATCCTTACATTTTACCAAAAGCAGACCAAATCGCCATAAATATGTCCAGTTGTAAGGGACATCTTTAAATCAAAAGGTGAGTTTCTATCTTTCTGGTTGTAGCATCAGTCTTACAGCTGTCCAAAGGGCATGCAAAATCCATTTACGTTGGCCAAGTTTTAATTTCCAAGAAACAAGTAGATAGTTAAAGGGTGCAAGTAGATTGGAAAATATTTGAGTGTTCCAATTCAAAATTCACCCATATTATGGCTTCCACCCGAGTTTAACATCTCGATCGCCCAGTACCCAGAGGTCTTTGGGCAGTTTACATCACTTTCTAATAGGACCTTAATACAATGAGAGCACCATAAAAAAATTTCCATAACAAAATCTTTAAAATTTCAAACAGATATCTCTATTAATAGATAGAATTCTAATAAACATTCCCAATAAGTAACAAACTTTGGATGCCACCAAAACTGTCATTCAGCTGACAGACCGTGGGAAGTGCAATCTGGGCTTACTCATAAGACCATCAGGTAGATGTGATTCCATGCAGTTGCGTCCCTGAATTGCAACCTCTCCAGTGCCAGCAACCCTGTGCCTGCCCCACTTGCTCCCATGGCTCCATCACACACAATATTCTGCGTGGAGCAGAGTGATGGGCACTCCTGGGAAAGCATGAGGCCCAGCTAAGTGTGGGGAGTCCACTGCAAGTCGATGGCGGTTCAGCCGGGAGTGCTTGCAGCCGCCTTTGGGGTTCCCTGCCCTTACCTTCAGCCTCCAGCTTTAAACAACCAAACAAGCTGGGTGGCTCACAGCACAAAACAGGCACCTTATGGAATTCCACACATGTGCGTGTGGAGCTGTGCGCTTCTGGAGAAGGTGTTGCCCTTGATCTTCATTAGAGCCCTGCGGGGTTGGCCAGGCCACCCAACCCCAGGGTAGCCCCGCAGGTGCTTGGGGGCCACATTCCACTCATGGGTGTGGCCAAAGGCAAAGGGGGTGGGGCTCCCCCCCCCAGCTTTGTGCAACTTAACACACTTGGACCCACAGCTTGGCTCTCTGGGGCACTACTTCATGCCTGGAGTAAGGCAAAAGCAGCCCAAAAGCCACATGTTCCCCCATTGGCCCGTGGCTGGAGGGAAAGATGGCAGGGCTGGGGCTGGCCCTGGGCTAGCAGATGCTTCCTGCAAAATGTGTGCATGGCGGCCTGGCTTTGAAAGATAGGATTTAATTGCGTGCATTTTTTTAACCAGCCTTTGAGATGTCCAGCTCTTCTCACCATTTTCTCTCTTTCCCTCAGCTTTGCGGGTGGACAGCTTTTTGCAAGTTATAGTTAATTTAATGGAAACATAATTTAATCAATTAAATGAATTTAAAAGGAACCCGTCTCCTTGGGACAGATGGCAGGAGCTCTGGGGTGGTGAAATCTAACAAAATTGTCTTCTGGCGCAGCAGGGCCAGTCCTGGACTTTCTCAAGTGCATTGGTGCTCCTGCGGATGCTGTGTGTGCATGTGTGGAATTCTTGACGTGCTCAAAGACACTGTCTTCTCAACCCTGAACTTCAGGAGCAATGTTGAACTGTGCTGGTGAGAACATGGCACAGAAGAAGAAGATGCTCTTGCAGGTGCTTAAGAGCAACAACATTTGCACAAGTTCATAATGTTTTAAATCTGAACAAGGAAGTTTAAATTTGGGAATCTAAACTAATCCTTGAAACTTATTTTTTTAAAAGCAGTATACTTCAAAAAACATTCACTAGCCAGATTTCTAAATTTCGTTTCCATCCTGTTGCACTAAAATGTCAAAACCCATTCAAGTCTCCATCTGATGCTGCTGTAAAATATGTGAAAATGAATCAATAAAAGTGGGCTTTTTTGTGGGGGGGGGGGATGTATTCCAGTCAGAAGAACCAGCCTCCAAATCTTGATTCTCACATTTATTTCGCTTTCAAATAAACTGCAGCCTATTGATTCAATGCCAGGATTTGAACCTAAGAACATGTGTGCAAAGTATGCCATGTACTGCTGGACTCTGGTCTATCCACTGAAAATAAGATTCCTGTCCTCATGGTGCAGAAAGAGGTGATATAAAAGGAACATAGAAATCTGACTTATCCCCGGTCATATATTTTTACCAGTTATATCCACTTAGCTCAGCATGGACTGCAACCCATCATGCCTGAGGGTCAGAACCGAGGGTCAAGGAGCCTTCCCACGCTCTCCACTGATGGGTTTTCCCAGCCTGCCTGCAGCTCCTAGCAACAGAACCTGGGACTTTCCTTGTGCAAAGCAGCTGCTCTGACCTTGAACAAAGTAAGGCTCTAGGTCTCATGGTTCTGAACCAAAGTCTGCTTTGAGCTGCCTTTTCCCAGGCCAGCTCATGCCGGTCTTTCTCAGGACTGGCTGCAGCGAGGGTGGGGAACTGCCATCACCAGAGGCCAAGCGCAATGCCAGGGAACCGGCATTTTGGCAGGCGGGGCCAAAGAGGGGGCAGGCCAGAATGCAGCAAATGCTGGTGAACTGCAGCTTCAAGGCCTTGTGCCCGTCTCTGCGAATGAAGGGAGGCAGTTGGACCCCAGGAGGGCTGGACTGGTCCCTGGACCCCTGCTTCCCACAGCCAGACAAGACACATGCTGCCCTCAGAACTTTTCTGGCAGGCTTTACTTTGAAGGTCTGCAGGGGCGTCCAGGGGACGTGGTTGGACGCCTTTGGCGAGGGCATTCAAGGACAGGCTGGACATGCCCATGGTGGGCATGTCGTGAGCGGAGCCGGCTGGAGCCGGGGGTCCAGCTAGATGGCCTGGGAGGCCCCTTCTGACTCGCTCTGTTTCTCTGTTTTGGGTGGGGAACAGATTGTGTGGCTTACACTCTCAAAACACCAGAGCCGGGGTCTCCAGCTTGCAGAGAAACATTGGGCTGCCTGTCTGTGCCACAAACCCCTTGCGGGGCCTGCAGGAGCTGCCCGTTCGGGCGCTGTGCCGTTCAAGTGAACCCCGGCCAGGCTGACAGCCAGGTGTGGTTTGGAGCCCAGGGGGAGGCAGTCTGGCAGGTGCCGGGGATGTCCCCCTTCGCAGGTACTGGGCTCAGGTGCCTCATCATACTTCTTGTCAAGACTCTCACAGGTCCAACGCTTTCTGGACCAGACAAGCAGCCTGACCCACCTGGGCAGTGCCATCACAGGTTCTGCACAATCCATGCCCCGTTCCTCGGCAAGGTAACTGGGTCCTTGCCAGCGTCGCCTGATGTGTGCGAAGTGGAGCCAGCTCTCATGGGCAGTTCGGGATTCTCGCCTGCTCCACATCCCCCCCATGGCACAAATGTGGCCTGTGCCATGGATGGCCCTGACATACATACCACGGAGAGGGATCCATGCGGACGGCGTGCCCTCCCCACCCCGCTGAAGCCCACGGGCATCCCCGTCCCTCCCCCAGCACTTTCTGCCCAAAGACAAAAGCAATTGCTTCTGCTTCAGGGGGCAAGGGTCTCCTGCCAGCACTGGGTGCCCCCTTCTTTTCTTCCCCGGCCTTCTCTCGACTGTCTTATTCTTCCCTCCTCTCTAATGAGGGGATTACAAGAAAAGGCCTCCAGCAGGACCCTTTTGTGACCATCAAGGGGTGTGTGTGTGTGGGGGGGGGAATGTGGCGCATCATTAGAAGCCTTCTTTCCCCCTTCTGCTGGATGAAACAGAGGGACACTTAGAGCAATTACTTATCCAGAATGTAACTGTCAATCACTCTTAAAGGGGAAGGCCCACCAATTAATAACCCCATCGTAATCCTTTGGACTCATTTCCAATCTGCGGCGTCCAGTGACATCTGCAAGACTAAATAAAGATTTCTTCTCTCTCTCTCTCTCTCGCCTTCTCCTTCTCTGGGGCTTTGCGCGAGGCGGGATCCGTGACAATTAAGGCGCCTAACCAAGAATTTTGGCTGCCAAGCGAGAAGATTGGTGAACAGGCGAGACCGTGTGTTGGCTTCCCCCGCGAAGGGACCATCAAAGTTAAATACTTTCCGTGCAAATCCAAGCAAGGCCTAGACAGGTAATGGAGGTTTGGCTCTTTTTAATTTGGTCTCATTTTCCTCCGATTTTGACAGCCGTTAGTTTACTTCCTGTGTCAATCGATGTACTCCAACTGGGCAAAGGGTCATGCAGTCCCATAGCGAAGGAAAATAGGTTTCCCTTTAATTTCAGCACTCCCTGAAATTAATCTGCGCACTGTCCTGAAAAGATTGGTGGTGGTGGTGGTGGTGGTGGTGGTGGTGATATTGCCAATTTATAAAGATGCCTGGGGAATAGGGACAAAACTGGTCCTCCCATGCACTGGGGGGCATTTACTTAATTTTTGCAAGCAAAGACAGGGAGGGTCCACTTTTCAATCCCTCTCCCCCATTATGCAACCCCAGAAGAAATGCAAGTATTCCCCTTTAGGGTCATGCTGCCTCCATCAGCGCATGACAGCCTAGAGAATCTGATATCTGCATTTTGCTCCTGGTTGAAGCACTTTCCACCTTACGGAAAGCAGACCTCCACCCCAGAAGATTGTCTTCCACAGCCGGGAAGTTTATTACTCACCTCTCAAGTATTAAGGGGCGTGTGTATGAGTGTGCGGCGTGCAAAACAGTCCACCTCCAGCCCCACCACTCACAGTGGTCCAGAACCTGCCCCTCCTTTCCTGGCAGAATAAGGTTTTTTTCCTTTTAAAGGGAGGCCCAAGGATGTATTTTAACAAGAAACAGAGATCGCAGATAAATAAATCCCTCTGAGCTGGCACATCTTGCAATGTCTTTCCTTCCAATCTTTGAGCTTAAGAACTTAAAGCCAAAACTGGGGGAAAGGGGGGGGGGGGAATGACGGCTGCAGAGATGGTGCTTTAAAATGGGGAAGAAAAGAAGGAAGAAGCGAGCAGACAGTCCCACACACAGAAGCAAGATGGGCCATTCAAAGTTTTGCTGGAGGGAAATGGCCTCTTTGGGCCACATCATGGCCAGCCCTTCATTAGAGCAACTGAGCGCCTCTGTGGGAGGAAGGGTGTGGATCATGGAGGGTCCCTCTGCCCCACTGGGGGATTCCCTTTCCCCAGCACAAAGGGCTCACCCCATCCAGCGGGTTGTCCTGGTTCTCTGTGCAGCATCTGGGGGGGTAGGAGAGGCTGCCATGGTTGCGAGAGAGGCAGGGTGTGTACCTCTCCCCAATGCGAAGCTGGATGCGGTTCGGCATCTTAATAGCATTGTAACAGGAAGACAAAAAAATAGCAAGACACAGTAAGAGTAGCTTCAGTTAATTGATAAATTAATTTTTATTGTTCCCAGTTCTCTTAATAACACTTCTGCAATGGTTGTTGTACAAAGTAACATACAAGCCCCTTGCTTACAGACCTAAGGCCTCAAACAGCCCTAAAAGAGCAGAGAGCTGTAAAACAAACAAACGAATGAACAACCAACCCCAGGAACAAAACATGTGATTTGTTAGATACTTTCCGAGCCATATTCTCACCGCTCCTAGAGGACCTGTAGCTGCGGATTCTGTAATACACTCTTTCACAGCAAGAAAAAAAGGTGTCGCATTTCTATGATCTTCCTAGGTAAAGAGGACATAATGGGTTAATTCATTCATTGCAAAGATATCAGTAAAAGTTTTAGAAAAGAAAAATAGTTTCCAAAGCCCTTTTGTGAGGTCTGTGAGCCATCCAGAGACGAAAGTGATTGGATGGGCTAGAAATATCCTAAATAAAATAATAAATAGAATCGATCAATAAAAACAGATGAACTTCAGCAAAAAGACATCATGAAGAATAGCAATAAATATTTTGGTATATATTACTAAGAGGGAAAATAATAGCAAATAACAACACTAACAACAAAAGCATGAAAGGGGGCTAAGAAACTGACCTCTGGAAAGATTGGAATCCAGGGAATTCACCGTGGCCGACTTTTTCTTCCCAAGGCCTGAATCTAGAACGCTGGGGCTGCATTTGTGGAAATGAGGCAGGGTTGGAAGGGGAAAGAATAACTGACCCTCGGGGAAACTGGTTTTTGTGGGTGCAATTTTGCATGCGCTTCCGAAGCCAGAGGGAGCCGGACCGCAAGGCCAAGTTTCAAAGCTGGGCATCTCAACTAGTGGTGTCAAGATGCCATTAAGGGCCGTGCTAATTAGTGTGGGGCTGACTAGACAGATCAATAAGCAAGTTTTTAAAATTCTTAGACTTCCTTCCTTCTTCCTCTCCCTGTGGCTCAGTTTCCCACCAGGCATTTCTCTTTCTCTCCTTTCGATTCTTCTTTATTTTTCATCCTCCCTGCCGCCACCAAAGCGGGCTTCCATTTCTTCTCTCCCCCCTTCATTTTCCCTGACCTTCCTTTCTTCCAGCACATCCATCTCACCTGTCTGTTGCAATAGCCAAGCTGGCAAACCGTAGCCCAGCAAAATCCTCACACCCCTCAAGCAAAAATGATGTCTGACTTAGTTCGAAACCTAGCCATTTAGAAAAAGAGCTTTGTGAGGACAGTGAAAACACCTGCTGGGACAGGGTCCCCTTGGCTGCCCACAGAAGCCCGGAGGAGGTTGCAGGAGAATCAGGCAGCTCTTGCTTGGGTGGTGATTTGAGACTCCAGGGGCCAGTCCAGAAAAGACCCCGCTGTTGTATGTACTCCTCCTTGCTGGGGGTCTGTGTGTGCACTGTGTACCCCGGTGGCTCTTGTCAGATGTGGTGGCATGGCTCTTGAGTAGACCAAGACTGTCATTGCTGGATAGGCCTTGGACATGAACCGTGTTTCTTGGGCAGCTTAACTGGGGAGGAGATATTCTGGATGTACTTTTGAAGGTTAATTAATATTTATTTCTGGAATGTGTTCATTTTTTTTACACACATGCGCAACACACATGGTTCAGATACCCTCACTTGACCAGGAGGATCCTAGCCTCTTTAGACACAAGAACGCAAGCTGCCCCATCCTGGTGCTCAGGGATCCAAAAGAAAAACAAACAAGTATCTCTCAACCTATTCTACCTGGCAGGGTTGTTGTGAGCATAAGATGGTTGGTGGGAAGAGGGGATGCCCATATCCTTTTCGGAGGCAGGGAAACATGATTTATGGAAAGGCAGCATAGCAATATCATAAGGGAGGGAGGTTTGACCCCTTTGCTAACTTTTCACATACCTGTACGGAGCTGATCTGCATTTCCCCCCAGTCCCTTCTCAGTCATGAAACCCTCTGGGTGACTTTGGGGCAGATTCTGACTTTCAGCCTAACCTACCTTGCAAGGTTGTTGTGAGGATAACATAGAGAGGGGGAAGACCCCCCCCCATTCCTTGCAGGAAACGAGTGGGGGAGGGGATTGAATGAACAATCCTTGGCCTTTTTAGGTAAAGCTCAAGAAAGACGCCCTTCCCTAGCGCCCCAGGGAGCCATTGCTAAGTAACCGGTACTGAGTTAGATCACCCACCCCTGCATCTCAGTAGGTGGCAATTCCTATGTTCTTATTTAAATCAGCCATTCATTCATAACAATGAGGACTAGTCCCTTACTTTACTCTTTAAGGGAAGGTCTGTAACTGAGTGGTAACCCACATGCATTGCCTGCAGAAGCTTGGAGGAAGTCTGGGATTGGAAGAGAGGAGGTTCCCTGTGGCTCCAATCCACAAAGGGGACTGAACCCAGTGTGGGATGCTGCTGGGCTGCGGGTTGATGGGTCTGCGAAGGAGTGTCTTCTCACTCGCTACAGTGCAGGATTAAGAACATGCGACCCTAAGAAGAGAAGAACCCTGGTCTCACCGGGGCCAGTCAGGTGCCCCTGTGGGAAGCCCACAAGCAGGACATGAGGGGAACAGCACCCTCCACCCATGTTCCCCAGCAACTGGGGCACATAGCCATGCTGTCTCTGGCCGTGGGCATAGCCTGTAGTCACTGGATACTGGCCCCTCCTCTGGGAATTTGCCCAGGCCCCATCAAAGCCCTCCAAATCGGTGGAAGCGAGCTCCATCATGAGACTGTGCTGCATGGGAACACTTCTCCATCCATCGGCCCTGCATCAAGCCAAGTTCTCTGCCTCTTAGGTCCTTGTCCCATGTGCTCTTTCATCCTTGCTCACTGACCCATACCAGAAATACAAGCGCCTCCCTGTTCCCATCACCTTCTGCACATGCCTCCACTCACACTGTCCAATCTGTATCCCTCTCATAAAGGACCGGGATGGTGAGTGATTTTGGGCCATGCCTCTTCCATTATCTGATCCTAGCCATGATAACAAGTTGTGGTTAGTTAACCACCAATAAGCCAAGAAAAGAAGCTACGATTTGCAGTTTACTTGTGAATGATGGGTTGTTTGTGGCTAACAAACCACGGCTTGTTATTTTGGCTGGATTCAGACACATGGCATCCCATGGTTCATCACAAACCATGCCAATGCACAACCAGTCCCTGGATGTGTGTGATTCTGCTGTGTGTGTTCAGTCACTGGAAAATCAGCAAAAGTGGAGAAGGTATATGCATGATAAAGAATAAGAAAAAGAAATACAGGACTTTTCTTCACTGAGGGGGTCTAAGGAGGTGCTTGGTGGCACAGTCCTCAGTTTTATAAGAGATCCTGGATTCCGTTCCTGGCATTCACAGGTAGGCTTGGGATGAAACCCTGAAGAGCTGCCAACAGCTAGCAAGATGAACCCAAAGTCTGAACTGGCACAGGGCCTCTTCCTCTGTTGCTGGTTAAATCTTAGAATCATGAGAATTAGAGTCTTAATTTGTTTTTTAAGGGAAGGGCCACAGTTTGATTGGCTCACAGGAGGCATGAAGGGAGGAACAAATCTGCCAATGTTGTACTCAATCAGTCACTCAGATTTTCAATCTTAAATTCAGTTCGTGATTAACTTTGCAGATTTTCCTTTTGTTAAAATCTGCACGAACATTCATACATATTTTTGTTCACATTTCACCTAATGCATGTATTTGTGTATGTGGCGTTCCTCAAGATAATGCATTTCTAGCCAGCTGTTTTTCTAATAGGATGCACTTGTGAATGTTCCTTTCATTAATATATGCATTTTGGGG